ATTTTCATGAAAATTAGCATGAATCTGGAGGCGTGCCGTTTTAAAATATAAAAGAGAATCTAATTGAACTGTATTCAGGCCTTCCATTTTCGGTGTGATTTATGAGTCCTTCCGGGGAGGGAAATATTTCCTAACACATATATCATGATCTAAGTAATTAATTTAATTCGAAACCAAATGTCATCGACATTATAATTTCTCACTAGCGGAAATAAAAGTGAATTCCTATTATGAATATATGACCTCATTAACTTTGTTTGAAATCAGGTAATAAAAGGGAACGCAATGACTGTGCGAAAATAAAGAAACTCGCCCTTGCCTATCAAAATGTCAATATTTGAAGTTGACTATTAAGTGGAGATATTATTATCCAGCGAAAAGAGGTCACGACCGCATTGTTGTTTTATGTATATAAATAAATAAAAATAAATACCTGCTTCAAATGACAGGCGATAATAGTGGTTATGTATATACATACAGTGTGCCAAGAGTTGTCCGCTCTTGATTGATGTCATTTATATTGACACCGTATTCAAGTATACTAAGAGTTGTCCGCCCTTGATTGACCTAATATTGTGACAACTTTAAAGTATGCAAAGAGTTGTCTGCGCTTGATCGACCTTATATTGTGACACCTTTTAAGTACGCGCATGATCGACCTAATATTGTAACAACTTTTAAGTATGCAAAGAGTTGTCTGCGCTTGATCGACCTTATAATTAGTGAACACCATTTTAAGTAAGACAAGAGTTTGTAACGCCCAATTCGAATTGACCACTAAATATTGTGACACCTTAAATTATGAAGCCAAAAAGAAGTTGTCCGTTTATCATTGAGATAACATGAATTTCATGCATTATTAAGGAGCATTGGTAACTATAATTTTTTCATTTCATATAATGCAATTTTTTGGAAGACCATTACTTTCTTAAAAATACAATCAAGTAACTTTTTTTTTCAGCAGATTAAGTGTAAGCTATACGACTTTTTTTAAATTATCAACATAGATAAATGAACAAATAAAAGAAATTTTTTACTAAAGAGAAAAGTAAAAACATGAAATATAAAATTAATCATACAAACTACAGGGAACATAACATGTAAGATCTTGTATACACAAAGCCCCAGGCCAAAAAGGCGCCTTAAAATACTAGAGGGGTGCAAAACATCTAATTTGTTTTATTTCAAATATTATTTAAAGTGACTTTATGGCCAACACCAAAACTTAAAGGGTGAGTGCTCAGGTTAAATTAAAATAACTTAAAATTTTGTCAAATTTGAGAGTGTATCAATTATGATAAATTTACGTTACCTGAGTTGAACATTGACCTCACCCTAGACACCCGATGACCGCATTTAAAATATCATTATAAAGATCAGTATTGGTATCAAATTTACCAAATAGAGATTATAAAATCGGGTGAGAGAAATTTTTATTTTTTAAAATTTTTAAGGCAATTTTCACTTACAAAAAATAAAAAATGTCAATTATCAATTATTGTTCGATCGCCATTGAAATAATCTTTTGAAATATTCAACTAATTTTTCTCAGCTTGACATTGAAAAAATGAAATGAGCATAACTGCACTTTGAAGTTTAAAATGCTATATATCTACTGCAAAAATTATTGTTTTTCGAATAGATAAAAGAATACTTCTAAAATGTTTGTTTTAAGTTATTATGTAATAATAATAATAATAATAATAATAATAATAATAATAATAATAATAATAATAATAATAATGATAATATAAAATTGAATAAATTGATAAATTAATAAATTAATAAAAGAAAACAAATAAAATAATAATAATAATAATAATATTGATAAATTAAAAGATATTAAAAAAGTAAAAAAATAAAATAAAAATTAAATATATTTATAAACATTATTCTCAATTTTAAAAATATAAATACAGTAAATGATTGAAAAAAAAATACATTTATTCAAATGCGAAAGCAATATTTGATTTGTAAACCGCACCCAAAACTTTAGAACCGAAGTGTTCTGTATTCATTATTGGATACCTATTCAGCGCTGGGTTTGATTTTTTTCTTTTATATTTTTACATTCATTTCTTATGTAACACTTTTGTTATGACAAAGGAAGTAAAACGGGCCTGCATTTAAACCCCGTCTGATAAATAGATATATAAAAAGTCTACATAAAACAACTTGAACATTCCTTTCGGTGAAATGATTATAAATTGACATTCACATGATAATATGAAAAAATATATGCTGTCACTAGAAAAAGAGTAAGACTTTGTAGAATGCAGTTACGTTTTTACGTCACAGTTTTATAATTAAGGTGGTCTTTAAGTTTTATTTTTAAAACAATATCATATTGATTATCATATTGATAGCATGTGCATACTATGCCAGGACAATTCCCAAAGACGGTTTTGCATAGTTCGTAAAAATATGCAAGTTTAAGAATACTTTAACAAATAAAAAGCAATCAATCGCTCAATTAATATATCGGTCGGTCGGCTGCCCGCTCAATCGATCGATAGATCGATCAATCAATCAATCAATCAATCAATTATTCAATCAAGCAAACAATCAATCAATCAATCAAACAACTATTAAAACAAGCAATCAATCGTCGACCAATTGATCAATCAAATAATCAATCACTTATTGAATCAATCAATCAATCATTTAATAAATCAATCATTGAATCAATATTTCAATCAATCAATCAATCAATCAATCATTGAATCAATCAATCAATCAACCTCGAATAAAATAAGATGGTCGTGACGGGACTTTAAAACAACACGCTTAAAAGTGTCACCATTTCCTGTGTCAACTTAAGATACGTGAACGCTACTGCTCCATTTTTTTCCCTCGACTCGTGACGAGGTTGAAAAACCTACATATTGTAAATAAACCCCATTTTGCTTACACTGGTCGATACTTAAGTACCAGTTCACATGTTATCAATAAACTGTTCAAGATTTTGCATTGAACGTAACTGGTGTATACTATATGTGCGCGTGTTTCAGGAGTATTAACTTTTAATGGATAGCAAATTTAAGTGATTTTGTTTATTAAACCATTCATAAAGTAAGTAATTTTGACAAAGTTATGATTCTATGAATATAGATCAGTGTTAACTGTCAGATGCTAACGTGAAAGGTGAACGAGCAATATATTATTTACTGATTTACTTATTTTTGTATCATAAATGATTGTATGCATGTTTGTTTTGTTTGTCTCTGGTTTGGTTTGAGTATCAATTTTTATCTAACCTGGAGGTATATATTGTAATGAAAATTTGTATAATTCTTGGTTGCGTCATCATATACGTAAACTTTTCATAGTTTTGTTGTTGTTGTTGTTGTTGTACATGTGGTGGTGGTGGTGGTGGAATTCATATCCAATGTGTAATGGATAACTAACAAGTAACCGAGTGGTTAACTCGTCTGACCATTGATTTAAGGATTGCTGGCCGCGTGGGTTCGATATCTAAAAGGAGCACGACGTTGTTTCATTGAGCAAGGAACTTTACATTCACTGCTGAATGTTGGTTGGATGCAAGTCCAACTAATTGTACTGCGCGACGAAATATTGTGCTATTTTCGTGCCTGGGCAATATCTCGCCTCTAAAAGCGAGATTCTGACCCAGAACGAAAATATCTCAGAATCAAGCTTTGGCACGTCAATATATTTTGACTAGTTGGGTGCAGGAACGGAGTCGAGAGTGTGTATTATAAAACATTATTAGTATATCCCCTTGTAGTTGCATAGTTCCCTTTCTTCTTAAATGAAGCGGTAAATATCGGATATTTCCGGTAATTGCCCTTTTAAGGCATATTTAAAAAACTTATGTTTAAATCACTTTTGTCACGTGAGAGGGTGTTTTCCGCTGTGACGTCATTAAGTTAGGAAATACCAATATGGCGGCTTGAATAAAGGGATAATTATGGCTTGAAATCCTTATCAGTTAAATTTTACAATTTACCAGCTGAATAAAAGCAATTTTCTCATTGATTAATTTACTAATATTTACATTGTTTTTACCATTTCAATTTACTGTTTAACTATACGTGAGGCCCGTGGCCGAATGGTTTCAAACAAGTCACCGCTGTAGGTTAGAATCCCGGAAGGGACTTTGGATTCTTTTATGTGAGGAAGCTTTCGAGCAACACAGTGCATTGTTACATTACAGTTCATTCTCGCATTTCTGGTTAATTTTCATTCGACTGCTCTCTTAACTTTGATTGTGACGTTTTACGAAAATGCGTGTACAATCAATGCGACCTTGACCCTTGATATCATTGGCAATACACGTGTTCTTTATTATTATATTGTCTTGAGCACAGCCTTGACGTTTCCGATCTGTAAGAGATAGCAACGTATCATCTAAACAACTTTTTAAAGAACTAATCATTATCTGCAACAAGTATATGTACTGCAATCGGGAGATTTTAAAATCATTAAAATCTGTTGATAATGGATTGCAAGTGTTTATCTTAAGAGCAATCACACCCAAATTAGGTAATTCCGGGAAACGGTGCGGACTGACACGGAATTTATCGATGCGTTCGATTCGGCATCAATGCATCCTGTAAAAAGTTATGAATAAGTAATGAGTCTGCTGATACTGATCAGTTATTCATGAAAAACGCTTACTCAGCAGTTTAAACATTTTTCATTTGCTTTGACAGCGTTACGTTAGAATTGCTGTTTTTAATTATTATCTTTTTTTTAAAACTTGATATCCGTGATGCATAGCAAAATTCGATAGATTGGAAGCAGTTTAAACTAAAATTATTTATGATGAAAATCAAACCTCTGACGTTCATTATGAAACGTTTTGGACTGTAAATACAGGTTTTTATATCCAGTTCTTTTCTGTTTATAAACGTCATTTTGACTAATAAGTGCATCAAACAAAAAAAAAGACGTCAGTTGAAAGTAGAAATTTACATAATATAAAGAAAAATATAGCCGTATTAAATCAGTATTTGTTTCATTCTCTTTTCTTGCAGATGCACGTAAGGTCACGTGTTGCTAGAGACCCTTTACAAGCGTCTGAAGGTAACAGAGAGTTCAAGATGGCCGACACAACGATTTCTCCGAATGGAAATAAAGTGGCCGACGTGAGCATGTATAACGGCCACCCTTATGGAAAGGACACGATTATAACGACTAAAACTGGTGATCTGATGAAATCACCGTCGATATCTTCACAAGATAGTTGTACAAAATTGACACTTGATAAAACGGACGATGACATCACGTGTTGTGCACGTGACAGTGCTGCGTATTCTGTGCTTAAACTTGCCGTATGTTTCGTCTGCGGAATAATATTTGGAATGATGTTTACGTATAGTCGAGGTAGGTGAAAAGAACACTCTTCATTGGCTGGTATAAATTCGACAAATTTCGTCTTCTTCCGTGACTTAGCGCAATAAAAGATCTTGTCACCACATCTGCTAACAGACACGGAAAGAGCCGAAGATTGCCGAATTTATACGAGCAATAATTGATAAATTAGTATTACTTATACCTTTAGATATATATTTATGCTATATTTGGTGTTGAACATAAACTAAGGAAAGGATCATTTATGGCCAGGTGGTTCAGTATACTATCCTTAAATAACCTGCACTTCGTCAATGAAAGTTGGAACTTGGGTCGGCGGCGCCCGCTCGTTTGTAAAATAGTCTGATGATACGCAGACTTTGTCCTCTTTTCGAGAAGTAAAAAAATGGGAAATCGCCAAATGACCTTTGGAGTGTCAATGTGATTTAAAACGTAATCAATCAAGAATGGTCAAATATTGATAGCCTGATTAGGTCTAGACACTGTCGAAACACCTTCAATGACATTCCGGTCACTTGCTTTACAAAATAGGCGGGAAATGTAGAAAAATCAGGTCAATTTATCGTCTGCGTATGAGTACACTAACTTGATATGACAAAATCAGTAGTTCATCTTTTGATATGTCGAGTGTCATAATTGACATAAGCTTGTCAAGGTGACATTTCAATTGTCAAACTCATGATTAACTATATGATACACGTATGTCAGTTGAGGTTTGTACGAATGTTTGCATTCCCGAAATCGATCTCGATTCGGTATATTCCGTAATATTCCGGTCTTTTCTGTCTTACATCGGTAATTTCCGTCAAATTTCAAATTATGAAAGGAACGGAAAGTTCGGATTTATCTATTCGTTCACCTGTATTTTAATACCCTTCACAATTTCTTTGACACTCCAACGCGTCCATGATTTTTGGTCATGGTTATCACATGTTTTTCATATGAATAAAATCTCATATGTAAAATATATGTGAAATTTCATATGTTTTTCAGAAGATAATTTTTTGGATCATGATTATATTCTGCTGTTTTTCACTTTGACCAGTCTCGATTATATTCTACATGATTGAAAACAAATTCTTATAAAATGTTCTTGATACATGCATCTGCCCCACACTAGTAGGAATTAAGTGTAAAAGCACTTACGGAATTTGACATTTTGCTCTATGTTAAAGATTATAATAAAAAAGATAGATAAAATAAAATAAGATGAAATAAAATTGAATTAAATTAAATAAAAAAGAAAAACAATGAATAAAAATATATGCAAAAAATGAATAAAAATAAATAAATACGCGTCAAAAGTAAAGGAAAAAAATGAGAAAAAACTAAATAAACTATATTTGTTTATTTAGTAATCTCAGTCACTAGGCGGATGGGAAAAAAAGGTTTAATATATTTTTCAATAACCTAATCTTATATGACCTTGTAGCAGTCAATTATTGGCGATTTAAAAATTTACTGATAATGTTTCACCGTATTTTAAGTTCGTTTCACCAAAAAAAAAAGTTCAAAAAATAGTGTTTTGATGATTTTCTAGTGTATGAAAGCTATTGAGTTCTAAAAGTTCAACAAAAAGTATACGAGAATTGAGTAAAGAATAACGTGCATTACGTGAAATATGAAATACAGGATCGCAGTGAATGCCTTAAGATAAGAGCCAACCGACGAAAAATACAACGTAATCTATTTGAGATCAATTAAATTAAAAATTAAAAAAAAAGAAGTTTTGAAAGTTATTTTTCGATTTTATTCGTAGCGATTTCTTTTTTATCGAAGCCTATATTTTACCCGCGTGGGAATTCGGAACGTCTCTGGCAGAATCATATCAAAAGTCACTGACCTATATCCGCATGCATTCATATCGTCAATCAAGTGTCAGGCTTTGATGTGTGGGTGGTCGAAGGTTTGATTCGCCCACAGGTGATAATAAAAACATTTTAAAAAAATGGTACCGCTTAAATCCATGCTCTTCGTTTATATCAAGACAACAATTTTTGAAAAAAATAACAAAATAAAAACACTCACAAAACAACAAAAGAAAACAACACCAATGAAAAGGACTTTTATCATGTGCATCATGCCAACGGGGCAACACGTGTCTTCAGTTGTTACTTTAAACTGTTAAGCTCATTAAAAATGAATAATCATTAGGAAAACAACAACAACAACAACAAAAAAGACCAAAACCATCTATATGAAATTATGTTTATATATAACTACGTACAATATAAAGTAATTTAATAACACCAGTACATTGATTGAATGTTGTATATATCATTTAATGTTTAGGTTAAACGTCCGTTTGATATACAGTAGAATCCTTACTTAAGACCACCCCGGAATAAGGACCAGCCCTCTATTAAAATAACGGAATTTTATGTTCTTTATGTCAATAGTTACATGTACATAATCCAGCATTAAGACAACCCCGCTTATCCACTTTTAAGACCACCAGAATTAAGACCACTGATATTAAAGTCAACTCCCACCTAGATCATCAAAATTCAAATCAAATTCTTTATTTCTCTCAGTGCATCATACATGATACAAACATAAGGTATATAACAATTAACATTTGTAAAAAATATCAAAAATGTGTTGTTATTATCATGACAACTTATTTCATAGGGTGTCAAAAACTGTTATTACTGTGGATTCTACTATTACATGTGAACATATATACTTCAGAGTTAAAGGTATACTATCCCGTTCGGATGAGCAGTAATTAAATCACGAAAGCCTTATGCTTTGTTGATTTAATGACAAAGCATCTAAACAGTAAACTGTGAAAGTAATAAAATATATAGCAAGAAAAGTTAGCATTGAATTCATTTATCTTCTATAACATGCTTTAAATATACCAACTTACTGACAATAAATCATTCACGAACTACGTTAAGAGGAGACGAAATTTAATTAACGTCATTTTTGTCGTCATCACGTACATGACGTCAAACGGCGTATGCTGTCTCAAAATCGTTCAAAATTATATTCTATTTTTAACACACAAAAACTGTATTTAATCGTGCTAGAATTGATCGCTACGTAACGTAACAGTAGGTCTATCATCTACTCAATGAGAATAAGCGTTGCGTTGTGACGTCATATTGTGACGTCATCATTTTAAACGCAATAATTATTATTTACTGCGCCATGTGTTTTGTCCATTACATGAATCGGCAAGTTTCTCAAACGTATTTATGGCTTCTTTTATCTTTAATTTGCTTTTTCACTACCTTTTGTCTCCCATATTTAACTCTTTATAATAGAACATTTAACTGTGAAACGGGATACAGTTCTATTTCACGATACAGTCAGTTTATGTGAGGTCAGGTTTCAACATTTTTACATCAAAAGGAATTTATTATTTGTACCCTATCTCAATGATGCCGGCCGTATGTAAACATACCCGGGTCGACCCGGAGTAAAACATATCACTATGACGAAGCATCTTTTCCCTGTGGACTGGTTTACAGTGTTTGTTTAAGCAAGACTGGTATCTTGATAAGAGATAGGGGCTAAAGAGAGGAAAAAACATCAACATCCGATCAAGCTGATATTGTTTACACGATGCTGGTGAGTTTTCCGCATTTCTTTAGAAACCATAGATTATAATAACCGGTGAAAATTGGCGAGGATGGGGACTTCGGTGGGCAGGGGGGCGGGGGGGGGGGAGGGGGGTGGCTGAAGTTAAATAAATTCGTTGTGTTTGACTGCTTAACAACAGGGCTCTGAAGATAAATACGATGCACTTAAAACGTAAAGTCGTGCCTTTTTCAATATCAAGACAGTACAACAAGGACAGATGTCACGTACACTTTCTGGACCGGAAACGGATATTACGATTATCTAGGCATGCGCACTTTCAAATATACTGGTCATTTTTCCAAATTCAAATTCGCGCGGCAATGAGTTTGCAACTTTTATAAGAGAATCCACTCATCGGGGCACATTTGCTACTTGCCGTTGATTTATGTGTCGCAAACTGCACAAGGGGTGGAATAAATTACGTATAAATAGAAATACCGACTTTTGGAGCATCTTTTGACGAAAGAACTACCGCAGTTTGTGTCAGAAAAGTTCCCTGTTCTCACACGACGTTAAGATAGGTTTTCATCACTTGGAATACTATACAGTTGTTATTTAGCTATAAATGTCTCCTTATTGCCGTAAAACGGTTGTTTATTATGAATGTCGTGAAAACAAATATGGCTGACTTTGCAATGACTCAGCAATTTTGGTGGTTATAAACTTCTTTTTTATGTTTGATACATACATATATTTAAAGGTATCACTTAATCTAATTGACCAGCGATTTTGAAAGTCTGCAAATTAAGGTTTCAGTTTGCCACTATGATCCTCATAATTCTTCTAAAGAAACCATCGTTATACCGTGTGAAAGTCGGTGGCAGTGGTCAAAGTTCAACCTCCAAATATAACGCTTGGAACTATAACTATGTGTTGCTACGATTGTCTTTCTTTTTGTGTGGCTGTCCATATATTCATTTGTCATACAGAATTTTATTTCAATAAATAACTAGTGGCAGATGTCCATTTATGACATTATTAAAATACCTCCAGGTAAGAAAACTCCTATATATACATGAACTATATAGGTGTTAACCTCAGTTACTTTATCATTTGGTAACCGCTTGTACTTTATAACAATAGTTTTATAATAAATATTTACAAGTCCAACTGACCTAATAGTATTGAAGGTGTTTTGCTTTGCAACCTAGATATCGTGAGTTCGAGTCCAGTCGCGGCTGCAACCAACCATTCTTATATGACGTCACTATTGGTTAGCTCAAGGATACGGTCCCGACAGTGGTTCGAATAGACTACAAACAGCTGTTTTAATATGTAGCGCGTTTAAATTATTTACAACAGTTAAGCAACTTTACGCTCGTGCGCACGTGCTTCAAAGCAGCAGATCAGGATGGGCATAATTATGTAGAGATCAAATATCGTCCAATTATATAGATCAATAATCATTATAAATTATTGAT